AATGATACAGAAGTTCAAAACAAGATGACAGGAAATTAATAATAGTTGTCATAGTGCGTATTTTTATCTTTAAAGTAGTTGCTCCAATTACGGGACTTAGGCATGTAAAATTGAGCAAGCAACATAAGTACTAACTGCTTCTTTCAATAAACTAATAGAAATTTAAAAAAAAAGAAATCACCCAGACTAACTTAATAAACTTATCATGAAATACACAGTATTCAGTCAGATTAAACCAATATCCCATTTAGTATTTTGGATATGGCTACTGTAAGCAAGGGGCACTATTGAAGGATTTTTTTTAACACTGTGGCTCTGAGTTTTATGTCACAAATATAAAACCTGGCTCTATCTATAGGCCCAAAGCTATTGAACACTTTGTAGCCAGTGTCTCTAGAACATTTTTACATTGACAGGATTTTATCTGTACATGAACAATATATCTCAGTTACAGCTAAAGCAAGATGACTATGACTGGAGGTCAGGGTTGGAGAAGGACAAAGAGACCTGTGCCAATTTCTAGCAATAGGCTGGGGTTTTCTTTAGATATGATTACTCAGGGCTCCTCCATGGAGATGACAGATAGAGATAACAGTCCAGCCAGAGCGAGGAGGCAGGCTCAGTGCCCTTCAGTCCTACTGGACCATCTGGGAAGCTGAGTCTGAGCTCTGGGGCTTCCACGTCAGAGTGCAGTCTCACTTCTCTTGGCTACACTGGCAGTCAGGGCATGGACCGTGGGCCTCTTAAGACAGTCCCTCTTATAGTGGCCTGGCTTCTGCCAGCAGTAGCAGATGAACCTCATCAACACATGAACCTTATTGTCGTTGAGCTCTTCTTGGAGCCCAGAGAATCAGACTTAGGGTCTATTTTGAGGCTACAACAAAGGCAGCCATTTTTTATCTCTTTGCTTTCTCTCCCTGGTTTTCTCCCAACTCTGATTATAGGACATTACTTTTTTAGTTCCCTATAAAGTATCAAGTGAGTTGTCTGGAGCAAAAGCTATCCTTTAGAGCTCTTTTCTAATATCTGGAGCTGACTGAGTAATGAACTTATCTGTAAGAGTAATCTGTTCCTCTACTGAATTAGCATCTCAGTAAGTATGTTTTACCAGTTTTTTACTAAATATTTTAAGAAATCAAAGGGGTGTTTATCTTTTTCCTGGTAAATAGCTGAAATTTAATACTGAAGGCTTGGTTTTAGTTCTCTTTAGACCTTTAAGAATACACACTAGAAAATATTGTTTATTACAATCTCCTGCCTGGCTATTAGGCCAGCAGGGGTCTGACTGCCTGGGCTCCAGTGGGAGCAGGTAGTTCCTGTTACAGCTGAACTAAGATAGACTGGCTATCTTCTGGTTGTTTAAAATTAACAATATGACATTTATCTCCAAATGTAATATCAGTTTTTAATGCTGCCTGCCTTTTCATAGAGGTGAAATCTTGGTTTAAGATTAACATTACATCTTTTTAATCTAGTTTATAAGTGTGAATAAATCTTCTAAAGACATCAGGGTCATCTAAAGATTTTTTAAATCTGACATTATCTGTTTTAGGTTACAGAGAAAAAGGCACATAAACTGGAAGTTCAAACTGTCTTTTTACTTTTTTAAAAAAGCTTGCATAAACTCAGCTAAGGATGGGTGTAGCCTTGTACAGGCTTAGATTACAGCTGTTTTAGAAGCCCACCCTTTTGAAATGTAAATATGGGAAACCTTACTTCCAGTAATAGTGGATGAGGCTAGGATTAAAGCTATCTTATCGAAAGGTCTCCAAAGGTCAGGAAGCTGCAGCCTTAGGCACCTGAACTGCCTGGTCCTTCTGTAGCCCACAACTACATTTTAAAACTAGGTAACAGTGACTTTCTTAAGGCAAACAAAATCTGAACATAAGACTACTGGTCTGGTGACAGGAGTCTCACAGAAGGAAGCATAACCATTACATAGAAAGGTCAATTTGAAGTGAGCACTTTTTAGGCTACAAAAGTCTCTTCTAGATATAGAACAGTTGGCTGGAGGATTTGGCCCTGTGCATGGAGCCAAGTCTCCAGACGTTTGTGTTTTTCATCTAATCACCTAAGTAAACATTTTTAGCATCTGGACAAGATTTAAACTGGAAGCTCACAGGTAAAACTTATATTTATCATATATGAATCATATTTTGCATATTGGTAAAAACACTAAGGCTGACAAAATTTTTTTTACTCTTAATATGTAACACGCAGATATAAATTATTTCCTTGGCAGCCACTGTACAAGGTAAACTATTGCAAGCTGCCTCAGCCTAATTTCTGAAGTCATGACTTATTAAGTTGTTCTACTGAAAAGCTCAGGTAGAATTCCTAGTTTACTGGCAGAAAGAGAATGGAAAAGTTACAATAGTTCAGTAGAGATCTTTCAATGTTCAATAACAATTTGCTGACCCAATGCCATTTAGCTGGCAAAAGGAGTCACATGTTTCATAGGAATGTATATTTCCTAAGTCTGAACTAGATTTAAAAGTGTCATTTTTCAGAAATTTACATAAAATCCACTTAGGAGACTTATTAACATTTTTTCTAGCTCTATTGTCTAAAGTCAAGCAAGGAATATCAGTATGTTTAGCAACTAGTTTGAATGCAACACATACAAATACAAAACAGTCGTAAAATGTCCCATTAAAGAAATATCATAACCTTATAACAATTTTAGGTTTTAGCTTAAATTTGGCAACATATTTTGACCAATATTTTAACAACAGCATAATGAATTTATCGGTGTATCTGGTGGCAGGCAGAACGAGTGGGTTGAGGGTGATGGTCGGGGGTTACAACTGCTTCTTATCAGTTGGAACTGCTAGTATGACCATGTGGAATTGGCCAGCCATCCAGGGACAGTGTCTGGAAGAGCAAACTCTGAGTCATTTCAGAGGGTCATGGACAAGATCAATCCAAGCCTGAATGTAAGCAATCTGGTCAGGGTGTCCCAGATTTCCGAAGATGGCTCTCCAGACCTAGTAAGCAAGAGAAAGATTAAAAGAGCCTTCTGCAGGCCACGTGGCCTGAGGGAAGGAGGGTCATTCTAATTCACAGAAGGTTCAATGTTTTCTGGGGGACACAGAGTCTCTGTACCCTAAGGCACATTGTCTAAAATCCTGAAAGTAATTAAAACACATTATAGGGGTGATGAAGATGCAGAAACAGAAGCAGACTGACACATAGTCATTGGACAGATAAGCAACAATCAGCCAAAACACACAAAAATGAAACAAAAACAGACCCAATACTCTGATCTGCCATCATGGAAGGAGTCGAGTCCAGGGGCTATTGTTATGTCTAACACCTCCTAGGAGTCCTAGATGGCACCCGAACAGAACAGATACAGATACAGATGTCTTACCAGTAAGGACTTACAGACAGCTTGGAGGTTTGAATGATGAAATTTGTGAGTTTTTGGAGACCACCCTGGGGCCAGAAAGTCTCCCCTGGGGAAATGGTTCCCGAAAACTCTGGTCCCTCAGATTGATCCCCAGTAAAGGGGATCCTGGATGAGCCCCAAAATGTTATACATCGCTCAGAGTAGGAACCAGATCAGCCAGATTGGAATTTGGAAAGCTGTTTATTACTGAGCTCAGGGCCTTCAGTCAGCTCTCACACAGGAGCAGACTGAAAGGAAGAATTATCATTTTTAAATGGATGATTTTTTTAAAAAGTCACATTAGTTTTAGCTAAATTAAGGAATTAGAGAAGTGTTTATGCTTTAAGAAGGAATTGATCAGGAATATTATTCTGAACATAAAAATTTGCCATCAACAATGGGACATTTTATGACAGGAAAGCACAAAGCCCAATGGTCTAAGTCCTTGACATTCTGAATGTAATGTTGATTAATGTCAATAAGGCTGCTATTAGCTGAATGTTTGCTATACATCATGCCATTTATATGGACTTTATCTAAAGAGAAGTTACTAAGGGCCAGCCAAATAGCTCAGCAGAGTAAAGCACCTGCTTAGGCAGACACAGGGGCCAGGAGTTTGATCCCTGGGCCTGCTGTGCTGGCCCCACCCCTGGGGCGTGCAGAGATGGCAATTGAGACTGGGTGTGGTAGCACATGCCTATAATCCAGCACTTGGGAGACTGTAAACAGGAGTATTACTATGAGTCTGATCTGTGCAGTGAGACCCTTTAGGCCCTATACTAAAATACAAAAAAAGAATCAATAATAATAATAAATAAATAAATAAATAAATAAATAAATAAATAAATGGAAGTTAGTGCCTTAGAGCCAGCCATAGTACTTAACATATAATAGGTGATTAACAAATACTTGAAGTAATCTTCTCATCAAATATTTATGTGATGGAGTTATTTTATCACAGTTTGAAGTGTGAGGCCTAGAACATTTTCAACATTTTCTGAAGTGGTAGATGAAAACCTAGAATGCTTTTAGGTATTTTCATAATTTACTTTGCAAGTTTCAGCTTATTTGCTTCTTTCACCATTTACCTTAAAGCACTAACCTGATGGTCGGTCGGCAATCTGAAGATCAAAGTGAAGAATTTCGCCTTCGAGCTTTTCCCGCTGACTCCAAGGTAGTGATAACTCTTCCTTTAACATCAAATGTTTTGTATAGATCATCTGCAGCCGACTGGAGGAATACAACAGTCGCCAGGCTTTGTGCGATGGGAATCCCGAAGGACCTTTACTGAGAAATCCCGGAAGTCACGACACAGCCAGGACCTCCAGACTCCCCTCCTCAGCGGACGTGGAATTTTGCCTGAGTTTGACCCAGTATGAATCTGGCCCCATGGATAAAACTGCCAATTTCAGCTTTAGAAACACATTAGAAGGTAATGCCTTTCTTTTCACTTACTTTTATTTTTCCTCCCAGATTTGTGTTTGAAAATTTCCTGTTTGAAACTAGGCCCAGAGGTGTTGAAGAATTCAGAATTTTTTGAGTTGACTCAGAATGCATTGGCCAGAGCTGTGTTGACCCAGGAAGCACTGGTAGCATGCTCAATCTGGTGCAACAATACTGTTTCAGCGAAGGCATGGATGAATGCACTCCCACACAGGAACGAATGGAGACAGCAAACAGCCCAATGCCAATAGCCAAGTTGTGTCAGCAGAAGAGGGTCTGTACCAGAAAAGTCTGTTTTCAAAGCTTTTTATACTGTGGAATTATAAATGTAGGACTACAGATGCACAATGTTTCCTCAAGATTAGTGGCTTTTTCTATTTGGATTAAAATATTTGGAAGATGGATTCTGGGAAGCAATTCTACTCTCTAAACTATACTATCATACGACCAGAATTCATTGTCTGGTCAGCGCCCTGGACCTCCCCATCACCAGGATTTCTATGCCTCCCGAGAGTTTTTGTGCTTCTCATAGCATTTTCTAATTCCCCTGGTTTTTTCCCACATATTTCTCAGTCTTGCTCAAATTTTCCCTTCGGTATCTGTTTGTCCATCTCTGCTCACCACTCACTTTGTTATAGATTCATTCCCTTCTCCTTGACTTGCCTTAAGAAAAAGAATCCAGCCTCAAACAACAATGATAATAAACATGGTTCCAAGTTACAGATTTAAGAGGAAACAATAGGGAACTTGCATGAGCCAGCAAGATAGCTCAGTAGAATAAGCATTTGCCTGGCAAGAGCAAGGGCCTAAGTTCAATCCCTGGTTCCGAAAAAAAAAAAAAAAAATGGGGAACTCGCAGAACAGGAAACTCAAAAAATATAGGGCACTTGCAGAGCAGGCAAGCTGCACAAGTCAAATCTAACACTAGCCACTCTGCCTCCTCAGATACCTTTGGACCCCTGCTGTGTAGACAAACATTCCCCTCTTCCTCACTCTTTCTCTTTGACTTTTTCTTTTGGTGTTGTTTTCTGTGAGTTTACTGTTTCATTCCTTTTCCTGTTCATTCCAAATTATAATCTTACAATCCTAAACCCAAAAGTAATTTAAACAAGGAGAGTTCCATCTTAAAGAGACATTCTATTGTTAGGTGTGAAAACAGCAATTGAAAAAAAAAGAAAGAAAGAAAATAGAAACAGTTTCTCCTCCTCCAGTAATCTCAGTGACTGCCGTCTGTGAGCCCTGCTTACTGAGCACTGAGCCAGACGCGTAGCGTGGCGTGAGCTTGCTTTGTTCCTACAGCCATCCTCTGAGGAAGACTGCATTATTTTCGCTTGATAGAAAACAGAATTGTTGATATTAATTAATTTTGCTGTTGTTGGTCATTGTGTGTTTTGGAATTACATGCGCACATAGAAATATATTTAAAGGTAGTATCTTTATTTTTACAAGTGTCAAAAGTCAAGTTCTTTGCATTTCATTCTAAAGACACCCAAACTTGCTAGAATTTCTTGGAAGTACACAATATGAATTTTGTTTTCAATAGAATAGAAGGCAATTCATACTGCTTTAGCCCTTGTGCTAAAACAAAGGCACACAATTGGTATCCACTCTCTGGGAGGATTAAGTATCCAGTTAGAGTTTGGAGGGATTGACTATAATCCCAGAAATGTTGGGCATTTTCCTTGCAAAATAGACTTTTTAAAAGATGTATTTGGCCCAGGGTCTCACTGCACAGCTTCGACTCATAGTGATCCTCCTGTTTGCAGCCTCCCCAGTGCTGGGATTACAGGTGTGTGCCACCATGCTCAGGTGGGCAGCTGCGTGCACCCGGGGACAAGGCCAGCATTGCTTGTGGTGTCAGGGATTAAAGCCCAGTTCCTGCACTGTCTACGCAGGTGCTTAGTCCACTGAGCTCTCTTACCAGCCTCCAAAATAAACTTTCAAACTTTCACTAATCTGCAACATTTCTATGGTCATTTTGGTGTATAGTTTCATTAAATGTACATTTGAGGAGAATCCAGCCACAGAAAAATATATTAAAATATAACTGTTCTTCATTTTGAGTTTGCCTTATACTTCCTGATGACTGAATCCAGGGAGTGAATTATTAGTCAGAAATCCATATAGGTGACTTTATGTCTTTCTCAGAGGATATCACATCTGGAAAAAAAAATTTTGCCATTTGTCTCACATTGTAAAATTAAATATGATTCAGTTGCTCCAGCTACAGGTATGTTTCCATTTCCCCTGAATTACGTTTTCCTTTTTCCAACTAACGACTGTCTATATTGGAGAGATTTCCTTAAAACTATGCAAAGATCTTATCTCTCGTTAAAGTTCTCTCCTGCAGTTATCATCGACTAGTGCTGCAAATTTATGATCTCCCAACTTCAGCCCTTCTTAGCATTCAAGATTCAAGCATTCAAACATTCTGCTAGGATTTCTCAAAAGACAACCTACGGGTGGCCAAATAGCTCATCAGATTAAAGCATCTGCTTAGGCAGATGCAGGGGCCAGGAGTTCAATCCCCAGGCCTGCCATGCCGGCCCTGCCCACTGGCTGTGTTGAGATGGCAATTGAGACTGGGCGTGGTGGTGGGTGCCTGTAATCCCAACTCTTGAAAGGCTCTAAACAGGTGGATCACTATGAGTGTGATCTAGTAGTGAGATTCTGAACACCCTGTAGACCCTTTCTTAAAATAAAAAAAAAGAAACTCAATTTGACATTTCTTTCAAAAAGAAGTTGAGATCATGTAAACTGTGAGGATATTATTTGACACACAGTAAACTTTTTGCTAAGTGAAATAATAGTACAGTCTGGGCTGTTTCTATACAAAAGTGAGGCATTCCTTCCTGTATTTGTATGTTTATGGCTCTCCCACCTCCTCTCCTATACTATTGCTTCAGCATATAATTTGTTGTTCTTACCAAAAGTGAATATTCAAGAAAGTTTATTTAAAAATATGTATCACCTAAGCTATGAGTTAGAAGGCTCTGGTAATACGTACTGGTAAGCACTACTTTAGCAAGTATCCTTGAAAACTGGAAGATCGAGGGGAAAAATTTTCTGCACTGATTTTTTAAAGACGTAGAAAACATACTAGTTTGAAGCATCATTTCTAAAACCCTGAGAACGTTTTTTCTCATTTGTAAAGGTTGATAAATTCTTACACCATTGAGTAGATATATGTACACAAACTACTAATAGATACAAAAAAAAAAAATCTTTTCCTCCCACTTTCCATTTTCTTTGTAATCTTCAATAGGTTTTCAACTTACTTTATTGAAGAGTTTTTATTTTTTATTTATCATTACTGGAATTCACTATGGTAGAAAACGGAAGGATAATCTCATTCTCCAGCAGCTGGATTTATTGTTCTAAAATTATTTATGAAATGATATAACAATGCACACATTGCACCTGAGTCAGCAGGTCGACAGCAGGACACCACACCCCCGTGGGTCAGAGGCAGAGGGAGAGGCCGAAGCTCGCTGGTGATGCATGCTGCAAATCAAAAGTAAAGCTATTTTCATGCATTCCTTCATTCATCCATTCATTCAACAAGTATGAGCTAATCATTTTCAGGATACTAAAGATAAACTAACAATGTCATGTGTATATATGGGAATGTTTTGCAGTTCTTCATGATTGATCTAAAATATTTACTTCAAAGGATTCCTTTACAACTCTTTCAATAGATGGAGTATTTAGTAAGTTATTATATATATATATATGTATATATATATATGGGTTATATTATAGATAACAGTATTAAAACTCAAAGTGAGACATTTTGAAGTTATTCACCAATTTCAAAGAACGAAAATACATTAATGATATGATGATATAAATAAAATAAATTTTAAATGAAAATTTGTGAAGTATAGGATGTGAAATGAGGCTTTATGCTTTTTAAAATAATTGGAAAAATAATCCAAATTCTATGTCTGCTTCTACATTTTCCTCACTCACTATGTTGTGGAGTATTGTCTCATACAATTATATAATTGAAATACAGAAAACTATTCACAAAATATGTCTATGTAATTGTGGATTTTGAGTTTCTATCCTAAGATGCCAAAAGGGATACTTTCTTAAACTAATTGTGCTGTTAAGTACAATTGATAAATTATATCAGTGAACTTTTCATACCCATTATGCTAAATCACACACCATCAGTGAATATTTTACCTATGAAAAATTTATAACACACGCCACTCTTTTGCAAAATACTGCCTTATGCAGGCTCTACAAAAGTTTAACCAAGACATTGTACACTATTGAAAAGGCACACTTATTAATATCACAAAAATCACAGCAGAAAAATCATTAACCATTAACAAACTCATAACGGTAGAATCAAATTTTCAAAAATTATAATTTTGCTTGAAATTTAAATATTATTTTTGCAAAATAAGAGTTTTAAGTGGCTGACTTTGTTCAAATTTTTAAAAAAGTCTTCCTAATAATTGGCTCTGCCTTTTGGCCAGAACGTCATCTTTCAAGAATTTGCCAAAAAAGCTAACACAAAGGGCAAGAGGCGGGGAACCCAGTATATGTTTTCCAGGCCTTTTAGAAAACATGGGGTTGTTCCTTTGGCCACATACATGTGAATCTACGAAAAGCACACTAGAGAAGCGCACTTTGTGAGGACCAATGGAAAGGAAGGAACCTGAGTCGCTGGACCCTATTCCCTATGAATTCGTGGCATAAACTGAGGGTGTTGCTCTGCCATTCAGCACCTAATTGGTTGCTGAAGTGTTCTAGGTCCTATGTAAAAATAAAATCATCCTGTGTTGTAAGGGTGGCTTTCTTAGTTGAACAGGTATGTGGTGCCTTCTTACCTTAGAAATATTTACAGCAGATTTTCACTGTACCTAGTAATTGTGCCTAGTTTTTACTCTTCAGTAAAACTATGCTGAAAGACATTGCTGAGGTATTGTGCAGGTATATACCCAAATGTGCAAATATTTATAAAATATTTATATT